TAAATTAAGTTTAAAAGTATATTAATTACTCTTTAATTTGTGACTTAAAATGGAGGTTTTAGAAACCTAAAAAAAAAAAGGGGTTGAACATTAATTTGTTGCCAAAACGGTCCGGATTGAGGGACACTGTGTTGCCATGCCAGAGAACAGGTGGTACGGACTTAGGGTTTACGGTTCAGGTCGAGACTGTCACCCAACGCTCCTTCACCGCGCGTGGATACCACTGCTTGTTAGACGTCATTATATAGTGGCCATTGCGTTGCAGAATCCGTCTGTAAAACCAGTTCACAGCCTTTAAGTTCGCGGACAAATAACATGTCACTTATTATGGCTAATACATGTGTATTTAGAGTCCAAAATCTTAATTTAATAAGGCAAAACTTTTTATGCTTCTCCACTCCCATAAATTTTTCTCAAATTAAGTACGTTAAAAGTCTTAGAAAAGACTTGAACCAACTTTTGTTCTAATAATTTGTTTCTAAATTTTAGTATTTAGATTTAATTGGTTAAAAGTTTAATTCTCGTTAATTATTTTAAAAATTCTCTAATCCCTCCTAATTTCCCATGTTAAAAAAAAAAAAAAGGTTTTAGAAAAGGCTTGATGATTTTAACTTAAAATTTAGCTGTAACCAATATTAAGTCATGTATCTTTAGTTTAATTTTTTTGTCCTTCATTAATGTTTACTTCATCATATTGAGATAGCGAAGTTTTTTAAAATTTTAAAATTTTTTTTAATTCATTGGGATACCCAAGTTCAACATCGAGCTTTGCATAATTTAAACCAAGTTTTAAAAAATAAATTTTGGGTTTTAGGATGTGCCTTTTTTCTCCTTTTTCAATGCTTTCTCATAGGAATTTTAGATGTGCCTTTTCTCTATATTTGGGAAGTAATTTTTCTTCCCCTGTGGAAATTTTGGTTGTTTTTTTTTTTTTTTTTCTTTTTTCTTTTTCCTTCTTATTTTTATATTTCTCGGTTGTGATTTTTCTCCATTGAAGTGTGTTGTCATCCACCAGCGCATTTAGAATGGCAAGTTTTGTGGTGGTATATAAGGCAACAGTAATGTGGCCAAAGGAGCAAGTGTACTAGAGCCAGGTCCCTTGATGGTGGAAGAGGGATGAGCGGTGCAAGTACCAAGGATAGGACTGGCTTGGATTTGTGAAGCAATATGGTCTTGTGCTTGCCTAGTGATACAATGTGTGGAAGGAGGTAACCAGTAGATGAGCGGCAGCTTAGGTGAGAGAGGGATGGTTCTTCGCCGTTGTCTCCTTACAAATTTGAAGATGGTATTGGAAACTTCCTAATGTGATGGGATTCTCTTTTCTATTTTTAAGGAGAAAATAAAGAAAATTAATAGAGAAAAAGTAGGAAATTTTATTATTCTTAATATTATTTGCTTTTATGTTACCATTTTAATTGAATAGGAAGGTGAAATAGTAATTTTATTTAAATTTATTAGAAGAAACCTTCTTTAGAAGAAAAAAAAATTATTTCTATATCAATTACAAAAAATATTAATAAGAGTTAGGTAAGATTGATAACTATCATGTCACGTTTCAATTTTTTTATTGTAATATATTTATGATATTTTATCAATGAAATTTGTTAAGTATCAATAAAAAGATAAACTAAGTTTGAGTATAATTAAATTTAATATTATAAGTCAATGATATAAATAATTTAATGATCATCTACTTTCGTTCGTTAGAAATAAAGGAGTTTGAATCACATGACATGCGGATAGAGTAAAATAAGAGATGAAAGATAATTATCTTTCATTGTGTAATTAAAATAAAAAAAATTAATATTATGATTCAAATTGAGTTTAGCAAAATGTATCAAGAACAATAAATTATAGTAATTAAAAAAAATGACACTTTTTTTATACTTGTTCAATACATACTTTAAAGTGTTTTTTATTCGTAATTATTTAGAAATTTAGTTAATAAACAGTAATGTTAAGAAAAAAAAACTGTAAAAATAAAAATAAAATTAAAAAAAGGGGTGAGAATTGGACATAGACGCCCCAATGATGCGTGTGGGAGATAGAAGACAAAAGAAAACAAATGGAAAAGAGTGACTCTGATTCTGAAGTCCCGTAAGAGGGAAATGAAATTATTATAAACCATGGTTAAACATCAATGGGTTTTTGAGGGAGTTTTGACCATCTCCCCTTCCGTTCTCCTTCTACCGTCTCTGGTTTTCTAAATTTTTGTTTGGGAGTGGCAGACGTACGCTGCCAACTGCAACTCCAACTTCATATTCTATCTTCTCTTCCCGATCTTGCTGATCTCTTCTCCAATTAGTCGGCCTTTTCCAAAAAAGGATCGATAAGCAGTATCTCTTGCATCTTCTCTTGGATCCAGCTCTGGTTTCTCCGTCTCCATTGCTGGTGAGCTTCTCTTCTAGTTATTTGATTGATTGATTGTATATAAGGATCGATATCTTATCTGCTCCGTTCTGTGTTTCTTGGGCAGTGTTTGATATCAAGTTCTGATTTTTTCTTCATTTTCTATCTGGGTTTTTTCCTTTGGTTAACGGGTTCAATTTCTTTTTTGGGTCGTTGCCATTATGGTCAAGTTCTATTCTTTTTGTGGGTTTATGATTTTCTTCGAGCATTTTTTACTGGGTGTTGTTGCAATTTGGATTTGGTTTTCAACTGGGCGATTCCCTTGCAAGTTTGATTTTTAGCTTGTGATTGATGGTCGCTTGTTTCTTGCTTCGTAGGGTTTGCCGGCTCGTGTAGATGGACTGGAGCTTCACCGGTGATCTGAATCTTTATGGTGGTAATTTTGCTGAGGAATGGATTTATATCTTTAGGTTTAGGCCGTTTTGACTCCATTGATTTGCGTAGGTGTGTCAGTTTTGTGAGAAGCTACTGATTAAAGGAGCTTTTCTTTTGCAACTTATTGTAATGAAATGCAATTTCTGGTTCTTGAATATAACAAGCATTTTGGGGTTCTTATGGAAAATTTGATCACAAGCGAAACATAATTCATAGTGATCAACACTAATGGGCGGACTTTGCTCGAGGAGATCCACTGTAGAAAATGCTCCAGTTGGAGGCTTTCGACATGTTAATGGTCACTTTGCTCATGGGTCTGCATTTGTGTGTCAGTCCCGTGAACTGCCTGCAAAGATAAATAGCCATTCCAATCCATCTCCTGCTGGAGAGAATGAGGACAAGCAGCTGAGAGATCCCTTTTCTTTTCCCGAGACAAGTGCAGTTCCATACGGTACAAGTCTAGGAGACATTGATGATGGAATTCCTCGCTTGTCAAGGGCACTATCACAGAAATCTAGGTCAACCAAGTCTAAGCAGGCTGCTGTTGCAAAGGTAAGTCAAACTTTATTTGCATTTTGCACTTTCTTTGGTCCAAGTTTTCCATTTCTATTTTGAATGGTTTAGCTGTACTAGAGTAAGTAATTTGTAATGAATTAGCTGTACATAGTATGAGAGTGAGGGTATTAATATATGCTAGTTTAGACAGGTTATTGTTGTCTTTGGCCTCATTGTCAATAGATATAGATTATATTACATGGAGACTTGGAGTCAAGCAGATGCAAAATGTTGGATCAAAATTATCCTTCACTTTGCCATGGTGAGTGAAAGCACAATGTTGGATGGAAGGGTTGGAGAGCTTGTTGCATGAAATTTCCATTGTATCTTTGTCTAAGCAAATTTCTAGGACTAACCAAAGTAATTACAAAGTCCTTCATTGATCTGGGTCTTTGCCACTGAGTATTTTTCTTATCAAGGTATTACTTGGACACATGGAATTCTTGGGTTAGTGAGTGCACTAAGGAGACATAGGATTGTATGCATTAAGAACTTGAAAAAAAAACGGCTTTCTAACTCAGTTCCCTCTAAATATAGTTAGAAGAGTTTAGTTAAGAAAAGGTGGAGAAGCTGGGACTGCAGCATTTTGGAAACCATTTGAGCATTCTTGAAATGGGAGTCTAGATCTGTTAGGCATTTCTGGGCCTTTTGTTGGTTCTTTGAGAAGATCGAGGTTTATCAACCAACTATTTGTGTCAGATAAAGGTACATCTGTTGCTTGGCTTTCTAAGAGAAAAAACAAGAGATTTCACATTTGGTTCAACTGGCCTTTTTTTATTTTTGTATTGCTTTCCCCCGTTGGTCACTGGCCTATTTGTTGGATATAAAAGATAGACTAATTTTTTCAATTATGATAGATTGGAGAGCGGTGATTTCTTTAAACAGCATAAATATCACAGCTAGAAATGGTCAGAATTTGAGAGAGAGAGGTCCGAGATAGAGTTCCTCTGAAGTAGGCTAAACTGTTTTAAATTAGAGTTGAGAATAGATGCAGATTTCTCTTGGCTCTTGGGCTTCTCACCTAGGGTTTCTTAATGTTATCCCATGAACAATTATGCCAAAGAACTATGTTGCTAACGATTTAACAGTAAAAGACTTCACACTAGTGGTGTCACCCTGTCTAATTCATTTCAGGATTGTAATTCTGAAATATTTATTTTTGTCACTTAAAAACATTTTTTCATATGGCTATAAATTACATAAATTGTACTGACATGTTTATTATGAAGCTGAAAAGTATTTAATGAAATTGATCTATATCTTCCTTTCTCATAAATAACATATTGTACTTGCATTTTGTTGTGATTCATCTACTAGACATGGAGCTAATTTTTTTCCCTTAAAATTCAGTTCCTTTCTGTTAATATTTTCAGTTAATCTTGCCCTTATTTCATTTTTGTACTTGTATTCTCCTTTTGTGATGTTCATCACATTTGCTGATGATTGATGTTAAGCCTTTACTTCATAACTCTCAGAGATCTCAACTTGTTGCTTTCATAGGTTTCAGAAGTTAGCTCTCTTTTGGGCAGAGCTGGTACTGCTGGACTTGGAAAGGCAGTGGAAGTTCTGGACACCCTCGGTAGTAGCATGACGAATTTGAATCTTAGTAGTGGGTTTACTTCAGGGGTAACAACAAAAGGGAATAAAATCTCAATTTTGGCTTTTGAAGTTGCAAATACAATAGTCAAGGGTGCCAATCTGATGCAATCTCTTTCAAAGGACAACATTAGACATTTAAAAGAAGCCGTGCTTCCTTCTGAAGGAGTGCAAAATTTAATATCTAGAGATATGGATGAACTCCTAAGAATTGCTGCAGCTGATAAGAGGTAGATGATGCTAACATTATATCTCTTTCAAGAATGTTTTTGTTATTATCTAATTTATTAATATTCTCATGATTCAACTTGAACAGAGAGGAGTTGAAAATTTTTTCTGGAGAAGTGGTACGTTTTGGAAATCGTTGTAAGGATCCTCAGTGGCACAATCTGGATCGATATTTTGAGAAGTAATCACAACAGTATCTTGTCACTCTGTGAGAATTCTTTACAACTTAGAGTAAGATGCTGACGTTGTCTCCTATTCCATCTTTCTCAATTTTTAGGCTGGGTTCAGAGCTTATTCCACAAAAACAATTAAAGGAAGAAGCAGAGACTGTAATGGAACAATTGATGACTCTGGTCAAGTATACAGCTGTAAGTATTCTGCCTTGCCATTGTAAAAAGAAAGCCCTGTTCTTAAGTTGCAGCCTAGAATAAATTGTCTAACCATGTTGGTTTCTAAATCTCACAGCCTGTATTCTTATCAAGAGTTTAGCATTTTTATATCCTTTAGAATGTAGTACCGTGTCAGATGGAAAGGAAAAGAACATGATTCATAGAATGTATCTGATTAATTTGGAATCAAGGCTTCATTCAAGTTGAGTTATTATTCTGAAAATGGAATTGGATGATTTTAGTTACATTTTCTTTAATGCATTTCTTGTCAATGGAAGGCATGTTAGTGGTGTAATTTTGTATTTAAAACTGGTGTGAGGTATCTCTAAAATCTTATAGAGACTGAACTTCTTTTGCAGGAACTATATCATGAGTTGCATGCCCTTGACAGATTTGAACAAGATTATCGACGTAAGCTTCAAGAAGAGGATAACTCAACTACTTCCCAAAGAGGTTAATTCTAGCTTGCTTACTAATTTAATGAAAGAGTTTTCTCTTATAGATTAATGAAGGCCTTTTTGATTCGTAATTAAATTGTAAAAACCATATATGTACAATAAGCCATGAGGCCAAGCTAATTTTAATTTATGAGACTCTGAAAGGCATATTGTTTTGGCATCTTCTTTGCTATCTTCCATATGTATATTGTATTGTTGTTTTCTATGATTTGTTCCACCTTCATATTTTTGCTTGGTGGATCATAACATTTCACTTTGATTTCTGGGATCAGCCTGGCATTTCTGCTTCTTTCTGAAGTTAGTTAGGTTGAATCCACGAGATGGATGTTTTTTGATCAAAAATACTGCCATGTTATTAATTAGATGCTGTGTTACATTCTTCCAGGGATAAAGGATGCTTTTGTTTCAACTTTCAAGTTGGTTTATTTTGTTATCACAGGAGGTTTTATAAACCAAAAGAAAAAGGGATATATAGTTTTGTTTCAATGTTTCTTTTTAATTTTATCTATATTTTTATTTGATCTATGTAGGAGACAGCCTTGCAATCTTGAGAGCAGAGTTAAAGAGTCAAAAGAAACATGTGAGAAGCTTGAAGAAAAAGTCTCTTTGGTCTAAGATTTTGGAAGAGGTATGAATCGGCAAGTCTTTTAGTCATTGTCCTTCTAGTTTATGCCTTCAAATATTTTTGACTAAAAAAATCATACTCCTGCCTTCAATAATGTTAGTGACATTTGAAGATGTATAAATTTCATTATTGTATTTGGCTTTTCATGTTATTAATTTTTTACCTTTGATTATGGAATTTTGTCTCTATGTGGTGGTTTCTAATTTGGTAAATAGTAGAATCAATGAAATTTTGTCCACTTTCTTTACGGTGGTGGATGACTATCAAATAAAGGTTTTATGATGGATGGATATCTTGGGGCAACCTAAAAAAAGGATGTACTAACATTGTGGAATGAAGTATAGACTTTGTTGCATATTCCTTTTTCTTTCGTTTTGTAAGATTCAAGTCCAGGACTTATTCAAACTCCACTAATGTTTTCCCTACTGGGCTGAGGCTCAGGGTATTGTGGCTACTTCTTGAAGTTATTTTATGTATTTTTTCACAGAATCAAGCTTAATATCTTCTTCTTATAGGTTATGGAGAAGCTTGTAGATATTGTTCATTTCTTGCATTTGGAGATTCATGAAGCCTTTGGTAGTTCAGGTAAGAATATCTTTTGCTTATTTCTCCCACTTGTAGACCTCCAAAAAACGCTTTGCATTTTTTGAGAACCCCATATGTTTGGCTTGTTGTTCAATTGGAAAAGGGGAAATTTTGTTTGGACCATGATATGTGTGGATGAATAGTTATTTGTGTTCCCTTTCACCTACTTAGATCTAGATATTGAGCGAACAGAATGTTAAGCTCTTAAATAATGTAATATAAGTTATTTTATTTATGTGTTTTGTATGTGTATGTCTCAGGATCAGTATAATTGGGTTAAAATTCTGTTTTTTATGTAATCTTGCAGATGGTGATAAACCCATAAAAGGGCCTCCCAACAGTCACAAAAAGTTGGGTTCTGCTGGTCTTGCATTGCACTATGCAAATATCATTACACAAATTGACACTCTTGTAAGCTTATTGTTTTCTAATTTCTTCAAAGTCAATATTTCTTCAAGTTTTTCTTGTTTTTCCTTCTGTTCCCATATTATCTCAGACTGGAACAGCTGAGATTGTATAACTGCTGCTTATTCAGGTAGTTTCTCTGCCAATGGAGAACCTGAGTTAAAACCCTGATAAATCTCTGCTAAATGCTCCTTAAACTAAGAGGCTTCATAATCTGTCTCCCTTTGAACATGAGAACAGAACAAAGTAGATTCGTACTTGGATGAAAACAATGTGATAAAAAAGATTCAATTCTTTCTCTTTTGCAAATTTGTGGATTTGGTGTTTCCATCATCTATGATACAATGGAGAATGTTTGTGCCATATGTCATGTTACTTGGATGAAAACAGACTTCTTATTGTATCCAAATTTTTAGCTTTTAGTGCCATCCTATTATTGAAGTCCTCTCTTGTTATGAGGGTATCTAAGTTCATAAAACCGTGGCCCAAAATCATACTTTTCTCAATTCATTTTTATCCTTTTCATCTTCTTTTGCAAGGCTAGTGTATGAAGCTGTTTATAAAAGCCAGTATACCGTGACATTATCTCATGCTGGGTATGGTTGTAAGGACACATACAATATTGTTTAAGACATTTATGGAAGGAACCATACTCTGTGAAAGTTAATGGTATCTAGTTATTGATTATTTCTAGTTATACTTGATTTGCCTTTTTTTCATGGTTAGTAGAGCCTTAGAATTTTATGATGTGTCTGTCCTCTTGGGCATGGAAAGCAGTAATGGAAAATGTGTCTGACATGCGCACATGATCATGCCTAGCTGGAGATACCATTCTATTCAGCAATGCTAAGGATAAAATTTTGTTAACTTCTAATTCTTTAAGGTGCATTGTTATGTTGTCCATGTTGTTTAAATGACCATAAAATGGTTTTATGGATGTTGAGGCCATCAAAGGGGTAGCATACACAGCACTGGGCAATTTT